CGATGTACTTAGCTATATATGCAGCAATGAAAGGAGAGGTTCTGTTCTAGTGGGAAAACATACTTAGAAGGTGCCATCGCGAGGCCACCAACTGACAAAATATGTAAATATGAGATATAGTCTCGAAACTCTACTTACATACTGAAAATATGTAGATGCCTTTGATGTAATCTTTAAACCAAGTCAAGCCTCCATCGTTTCATGCATGGCTAAGACGATGAAGATTAAGGATTGGCATCATCCAGTTAGATTATCAGTTCAGCAATGCACCTGCTGATGGATAAGCTAAGCAAAAATGTAAGTGTATGGACGTAGTAAACTTGTGCTCTTCACAATCGGGGTTCGTCTTATGGAATCATGCCTAGTTGACACAACTTGTACCGTATTTTCTTCGATATTTATCATTGATGAGTTATGATGGGAGGCAGTTTTGTTGCTAACTCCCTATCTGAGGAATCTGCTAAGCAAGTGAAGCCTCTTCTTCTAAGCCAGGCAACATTTTGGAGATGTGCTGTGCAGGGCCTTGCAAGGAGGCCGGATTACGAGCAAGAAAATACGACACGGACAGTGTACCCAATGGGTCCCTGCGGCCGTCCATACTATGCCTCTCCGTCTGCGTATGTCTGCATGTCGAGACTTATTTAATTAAGACATTTCGCAAAGGCTGATGGGCTTGATGGGTCTATTTGAGTTCCATCGGCCTATTTGCCGGAACAGTAGGAGTTTGGGTTCGCTGAACAGTACAGAAATTGTATCAATATTAGGTCTGAAGCTGCCCCTAGCAGGCTACAAAGTCGAGCCATGCTAAAAAAACCTTAGGAAGTTGAGGTGAAAAGAGGTATAGTCAATTCTGTGGGACCCTATTCCATTGTGGTTGGCTAGTTAGTTGAAAAAAATTTATTGATAAAATTCAACTATGCAAATTTAATTTGATAGTTTGTAGTATATGCATTATCCAGCTCTTTCCCCTTTGCAAACTGGATCGTACTCACCTCTTTCCAGCATCCAATGTCCCCAGTATGCAACCAGCCATCTTCATCGTAAAGCTTTCTTGTACTTTCAGGGTCCTTAAAGTATCCAGGAGTACACGTGGGTCCCTTCACACAAATCTGCCAGAAATAGAACACATTGTTTAGATTACATTAAGTATGGAAGAAATACCTCTAAACTGATAACTTGAGTACCTTTTTACATTTGAGTATAGTTTCGAGACTACCAGTAAATCAGTAATATGAGATGTTTTCACCTTATTTCATTTAAGGTGATCAAGGACTGGTAGTCTCGAAACTCTACTCAAATACGAAAAATAAGAATCGTTTTATATTGTTATAGCAAATATACGTTTACTTCATCGACAATCCCACCAAAGAAGATGATATGGCAAAACGCCTGGCCTTCCTTGAAATTCACATTTTCCCTCTGACATAAGGGCACTCATGGCAATATGGCCGATTTGTTAACATGTCAAGCTCACAATCTGCACTGTCACGGTTCGAATCTCGCTGGAGGTGCTGATAAGACCGATTCGAGGTCGAAACTGCAGACCACCGTCAATAAGAACAACTTTTGGGAAAGCAAGACTATGTGAAATTTAATGGACACATCAGCTCTACTTATATCATTATGGGAAAATTCTACTGCCAGTCCTTCATCACCTTAAACGAAATAGGGTGAATACATCTCTTATTACTTTTTTATACTTGAATATTTATCAAAGTAATGATTCATCTGCCCCAATATGAAGCGTCACTTAATTTCTATCATTTTATTAACCACTTTATTTTAGAATTTTTCTGTAGAAATAATTTGCCGCCGTACATAATGAGAGCAGCTGTTTAGGATATTTTATTCATCTATTATTAACTGAGTTTGAATTGCCTTAGCCAATCCCGAGATTTCAGCATGGTACTAGATCTAATCCTTACATCCTAAGAATTTCATGCAATTATTAAAAAGGCTATGAACCAAAATCTTTTTGGTAGTAATATAAGTAGCAATAAGTGTTGCCTTGGTGTTGCGTCATCATAAAAGCCATTTATCCCCTACTTTGTATGGATCTAGTCTCAAATAACATGACTAATGGGTATACCCAAATTTTCGGTGCAACAAACAGTTGAATCAAGGCGTGAATGATATGTGGTTTAGGCTGAAATGCTAGTTATACTCACCGAAAAATGAATGTAATTTTTATGTTCTGGAAACTTATGGATTAGCCATAAATAAAGTAATGAGCACATAATAGCTTCAGATATAAGACTTTGGATATTTTGCAGTCAGGCCTAAATAAATACTAATAAAACTCTTTCATTTATCCTCAATTTATACTCTATAAAAGTACTTTATGTTGATTAAAAGCGCCAACAAACAAGCTGCTTTCTTTTATTCATAGGCCAACCCCTCCAGTCCCTTGGAGTTAGCATGGATATATGGTAGACAAGCAATATCCTTGAGACTTGGCCGGAAATAGTATTATTCAATGTGTTTATTGTATTTAACTTTTAGCCCCCAAGCTACCCAAATGAGTGTACCACTCGAGCTTGAGCTTATTTTATTTATTTGTTAGCTTTCTGAGGTGCCCAAGACTATTATTTACCTAAAATCCAGGCTAGACGACTTTCTTCTCTACGCTCCTAATGCCATGCAGATTAGTGCATTTTTGGGCTTTGTACTCTCATGAAGTTATGAGTATAGATTGAATAAGGAACTTTTGAATAATTAGTCATAAATCTCGTTTTAGAATAGATAGTCACCATTAACCTCAACGCCTATCGTCTTTAATTCAGTTTCGAATTTAAATAAAATAGTAGTCCACTAAACGGCCACAGTGGTACCGTCGCCATGCTTCTCACGACCTGGTGGCAAATCCCGTTTGGGTATCCGAAGAGACTTCTACGAGATCGAAAGTACAGTCCACTTTGGATGAAATTGCCTTTTTGGCGGCAGGGGAATGTACCGCGTCTACAGTCCGACTTTGGAAATAATTATGCATAAAAGGGACTCAGGACAAGGTGCGTTCCTATAAGTCTTCCTACCAATATGATCAAGTTGCGAAAACCAGGTCAAACAACTTCAGGACTTACTTAATTTAAATGGCATCGTGAGGCTTACTCGGCACATTGCGGGAAAACCCATTGTATAAAAACATTGAGCGACCCAAAGTAACCAAATGCTTAGTGAACTAATGATTTTCCATTTAGCTTATGCTTTATTGCTAATAAAACTTGAATTCTTTCAAAGTTATATTCTTTAAATTGACGTTTTCTTACATTACTCCTCGCTGAATCCCTTAATAGCATAGGAAACTGCCAGCGAAATTAGGATGCTTTAATGCATTGTTTATTTCGAAATAAGACTAAGCATTTTAGTGAAAAGTCATTCACGTTTTAGGCCAGCACTATAGTTTGGCCAGCAAAGACACGAAAAATGAAAGTCCAGCTACAAACTCATATGTAGATTCTTTTCTTTCTAATACTTTATTTTTTATTTCTAATGCTATATGAACCCTATTTTCCTCACTTCCTGTACAGACAAAAACAGATACAAGTTTCGCTAACCATTGTACCAAGTTCCTAAATTATAAGCAAAGTTATCTGGACTTGTGCTAAACGTTGGCACAAGACCTAAAAAATTATATCTCATAACTAAATTTCCATTCAAATTGAAATTATTCTTGCTTTACTATATTCATATGATTGCGTTTCTGTATAACTACTCCACAATGAATGTGAACTAGCATTCCAATATATCCTCTATACATATCCCTTTATCCTTAGCTGGCTCATATAATCCTGTGCTTTGTTTGGCTGACATTTTGTGTGTGACCTAATCCAGACTAAACTCTTTTTCGCTCTCAGTCGTTTGCTCATCGTTGGATATTTTTAATAATTATCACCTAGCTCAAACCTATCTTTCTTTCAGGTTTAATTCCAGAATGCCTAGAATTAATTAGAAAAACATCTCTATTCTCATTACACTCATTTTATTATGTTAATTTAATTAAATATCATAGCCAGGCTATAGCTTATATTCCTCTTTCTTGTTCACTACATTTAATCCGCCGTCAATCTCAATAATAAACTTTATTGTTTTGTCTGTCTAAACCCATCCCAGTTTATTACATTGTCTGTACTAAGAGAAGGGTATGTCAATTAAAAACGGAAGGAGAGCCCTGTCTAAACCGGAACGAATCGTTAGCCACATTTACTATTTTCATTTCTTGGTAGGATACAAGACGACATTTAGATACAGTGCTTAGTCTCTATTATTAGAAATGTGGCAATATAATAGTTAATTTTTATTATCTGCCCTTGCTAGATATTAGTGAAAATAAGGACACAACGAAACAGGACAGATTCATCTACCATATGTAAACAAAGTAATAATTGGTGGTATAAATAACTGTCATGATTACCATAAGCATAATAAATTTACGCATTTTTATTACATCTCGCTAATATAAATAACTAAACCTTATTTTCAAGAGGGTCTGGTAATAAATAATACACAATAAAATTTATAATGTTGCTTCACTGGATAGTCAAAACAACTCTACAACGTAACTGACGTATGTATCTCATGCTACATATGTATGCCAACTCTGACCTATCAGATCAGGTTTGCTGTTAGAAGAAGCCCAAAAAGAGTATGCGCCCACAAAGTTATCTTGTGACAAAAGATCACCACAAATTTCCATTTGCTCTGGAAGGAGGTTCCATGTAAGTATGCTGAATTTGGGTATAAGACCTTCCAGCTCCGTAGTAACTCTGGGCCATCAAGCCCAATCTTCCTTGGTTGGTTTAAGGCAAATTAGCATAACAAAATAACATCTTGGAAACATGGGAAAGTCACCAATATTGTCCGATCGACGTGAGAGAGCAAAGATTTATGAGTTTTCTTTTAGCTTCACAACTGCCTGATTCTGTTGTGGTTCTGATTCATTACAAGACAGGGCAGATTAGCCCATGTAACCCCTTAGTGCATGTAATATGATGGTATTAGCTTCATATACCCATTTTACAACAAAGAGCTGTTATGGCACTCACCTCGCCCTTGTTGTCCCGAACTCCGACGAGACTCATTTCTGGTACATCAGCGAGTTTGACATGTGCAACAGGAAGGGGTGGGCCAAGGTTGCCTGACCTATACTCCCTCGGAAGAGTGCAGGTTATGGCAGCAGTGGTCTCAGTGCTTCCATATCCTTCGCTTATCTTTAGTAGACAGGACATAATAAGCATACAGACCGGAGGAGGAGCCAAAATTGATGTTTATTTATGACCAGGCAATTGGTGGAAAACCATATAATATGAAATAGCTAAAAATGATCAATTTTGAAAAAGATATGAAAAAGGAAAATTTCACTTTTTATACATACTCGTGCTCCGAATGCCACTCTCGTAAAGTCCATGACCTCGGGTGGCAAAGAAGCTCCTCCGCAGTAGATTGCCATCAGTCTTCCACCAAGCTTTTCTTGCAAGGGTGCAAATATCATTCTGTCCCAAATTGTATTTTTGGAGATGAATCCCCTTTAATGATATTTGTAAAGTAAATTAACAAAGGTACTTAGTAGATATCGTTTTATAAAAGGCTAAACGCACTTGAACCTAAGTTTCATATCGAATCATTATCTTGGCTAAAAAGGTCAAACTATTATCGGTTTGTTGCTAGTCCAAGCCTTTTAAAGCCTCTTGAATATGCAAGTTGTGATAACATAGATTTGTTTAGGCGCATTCATATGCTGGAAAAC